CCCCAAAACCCCAAAACCCCAAAACCCCAAAACCCCAAAACCCCTTGTTCTAAGTGGCTAATTGTGATGAATAAAAGTATTCAATAATTAGAACTGTAATGGAAAATTTTGTAGCTGGAGACTTGTCTGTAAGAGATTTAAGTTAAGTTGTAGCAACAAGTTGAAGCCTCGGGGTTGGATACAGTGATGAATGATGAAAATCCTATTACTATAGATGGGAATGAATTTAGGTCTATTTGTCATTATTTTATATGCATGAAGTTTAGTGGTGATGAAGATATAGTAAGGAGGTGGTGATATTTTGTAGTTTAATGAGATATTGATGACGAGGAGTGCAAGGATACAGAAGCAAAAGCATGGGAAGTATAAGGAGAGTATTAGAGATGACTGGAAGGAAGTTGAGAGGAGTGTAATGGCGGAGGCTGTTAAAGCTAAATATGAACAATATGAGGATTTTAAGTTGTTTATTGATAAGATAGACACGAATAGTCTAAAAATTAACTCTGACGACTCAAAATCAATCAAGCTAATAAAACGTTCTATCCTTGACTTAAAAATTTCTGACGACTCTCCTCCCAATGAAGAAGAAAAGGATGATCCATCGACCACAGAACCAATTCTATTCTACGGTCGCCATCTCTCTCACTTCGAGTTTTCAAACTTCTACTCAGCTCCATTCTACATAGACTCTAAGGAATACCCTACTTCTGAGCACTATTTCCAATCTATGAAGTTCTACCCCTCCTACGACCATATGGAAAGTGTTCGTCTTGCCAAATCACCTGGCGTAGCCGCCAGGCTTGGCCGGAGCAGGAAGAACCCTTTAAGAAAAGACTGGGAAGAAGTGAAAGATGATGTAATGAGAACAGCTTTAGAGGCGAAGTTTACACAGAATGAGGGATTGAAGGAGGTGTTGTTGGAGACTGGGACAAGAGAGATTATTGAACATACTGGGAAAGATTTTTATTGGGGTGATGGAGGTGATGGAGGGGGAAAGAATATGTTGGGGATTTTGTTGATGGAGTTGAGAGAGAAGTTGAGGGAATAGAGGAAATAGAGGATAGAGATGAGGGAAGAGTAATTTTAAAGATGCAGAAGTTTACTCCAAGGTTAACATTTCATAGAATCAGTAATAAAATTATAACCTCTCTCTAAAGCTTTAACAGTAATTCACTAAAACTCTCTCTAATCTTTCAACAAAATTTATGACTGCCGGGGTTTTGGGGTTTTGGGGTTTTGGGGTTTTGGGG